AAAAAGCCTCATCCACCTCTTCCACCTGGTTAGGTGGCCTGTAGTAGGTGGCCTGTAGGATAAATATGTAGTCTAAAGTTACAGATATAAAAGGATTCTAATTTATGCTAAAACCAATTTACAATACCCTGACAGTGTAAAGGAGCTTTCAAGGGGGAGTAAATTACATGTGCGCTCACTTTATGGCCCCTCAAAACTGGCAGACCAGGGCATGCGTACATGGGGAAGTTATTCCAGAATAAGGTAGGGTGTGAATTTAAAGCGCAATGCCTGTTCCAGAATAGCTATTGTGGAATAGCTTATTCTGCAATAGATATTCCAGACAATTTCCTAGCGTGGCCAAGCCTTTATAATAGTGTGAATGAGAATCAAGCTTGTAAGATTTTTGTTTTGACTGTAAATCTATCCAAATTGTCACCTTTATTCAGTTACTGATTTATAATCTCATAGAAGTTTTATATTTGCAAAGTTTTGCAGTTCCAACTTTGATAATTATAAAGCTACCACCATTACAGTGTAAAGTTGAGTGGGTCAGTATGTTTCAAATTTTGAAATGTCAATGGGTTTTTTTCTCTCCAAAATTTTGACTCTCAACCAAAAAATGGGGAAAAAGTCAATAACATTTTTTACAATTTCCTCCTTATATTTCAATCCAGTGTAAATTAATAGATAAATACCTATTTTAAGAAAAAAACGGAATCTGTAATTTGTTGTTATTGATTTGGGAATCTTAAACAAGCATTTTCATCTCCCCATACTTTGCAGGTCTACCTTCCCTTGCTTAGAGACAGATGACTGCACTTGAAACACTACAGTGGGACACCTGCAGCACTGCAGCTGCGCCGCTGTAGCACTTCAGTGTAGACACTACCTACGCCGACGGGAGGAGTTCTCCCATCGACGTAGGTAATCCACCTCCCTGAGAGGCAGGAGCTAGGTTGACACAAGAATTCTTCGGTCGACCTAGCGCTGTCTACAAGGGGACTTAGGTTGACTTAACTACGCCACTAAAGAGTGTGGGTTTTTCCATGAAGTTTAGCCAACCTAATTTTCTCCCACAGACCAGGGCTAAGATGTGGGTATGTTTAGTGGGAGGCTACCAAATGTGTGTGATTCAGACAAACTAATCCAGCACTGTGCCAGAATGACCCTTTACACTAAATAGAAGGTGATTATACTGGTGTTGTATTTTTGGCTGTGCTAATTATCACAATGGTCTTTTACAGGGGCAACAACTCAAAACTCAACCAGTGCTGCAAACAAAACTGAGTCAACCACTCCTGCTAGTAAGTTTATATCTCCTCCTGTGTAGACTGTTAGAAACATTTTCTAGTAAATGATTTTCTATAATTCTTACAGCTTGATTCACAATGTCAGGGGCCCATTTGCTCATACTAACCTCACAGTTTCCTCACAGCACTAACTTGAGGAAGGGATTGCAACCCCCTTGCCTTGTCTGCATGCTCAGCTTGTTCCCCTCTCTTTCTGACAGCCTCCCCTCAGGACCCAGAGCACAGTCCTCCCTTCCCAAGTAGGACACCAGTGGCAAACCCCCAACATCAAGTCACAACATCCAATCCCAGTTATCTTAAATAAAAGTTCGGTTGGCACAGAATAGGAGCAAGTGTGGCGGGGAAAGAGGGGGCAAAAGAAAAAAGAAAAAACCAAGTATAGAGCAAATGGTGCAGGAGCTCTGGTCTAGCTGAGTGGCACTCAACCCAGGACCAGAGAGGGAAGGGGACAAAGGTGTCTTCATGCCATTTTTGTGGTTCCTTAATCCTGAGGATGGCCCTCAGTGCCTCTTAGATTAGCCTCCCCCCGTTGCCCTTGGCCTCAAGATGCTGTTCTGTTGGCCAAATGCAGAGCAGATGACTCTCCAGTCATGCCCTTCCCACCCCCACCAGACATGCTCCTTACATCAGTAGCTAGGAGAGAAGTGGCTTAGAGCCTCTATGCTGACTCTATAACACTTAGAGGGAATCCCCCTATATAAAGGGAATCTCTAGGAGGCTTTTTAATGCAGCTTTATGGCCCCTTTTAATCATCAGAGCAGTACAAAGGGATGATAGTAGTGATTCTGGCTTAGCTATTGGTTTGTTTGGATTTGAACAAAAATAAAAAGAGATGCTTATTGAAAGCTCACTAGTTAGGCTAATTTAGTATTCATTAGCTAGGCTAATCACTGTGCTGAGTGAAGCTCTAAACTTAGTTTACCTGTATGTTTGAAGAAGATTAAAACCTGACAAAGCAGCACATTGTCAGATCTAACTACCTATGTCTGTCCCTGCAAGTTTATGTTTGTTGTCCCAGAAAGGTGTCTGACCACCTTCTTCTGGACATAATCATTAGCTGGTTGGTTGTTTTCAACATCTCTTGGAAGAGAATGATTCATTACCATGCAAATGGAGATAGACCCACTTTCTGGCTAATTGATATCAAATACCCCTTAAAGCCTCATGTAATAACTTATGGCTCAGTCCAACACCCACTGAAGTCAGTGGGAGCCTTTCAGTTGATTTTGATGGGTGTTGGACCAGGTCTTTGATTAACACAACTGTTTTTGAACTGAATCTAATGGATGTAATTCACTGTACATACAAATATCCAAACAGTGTAAACAATATGAGCATGAAATGACACATCTCACAGACAAGTACAATGTAAAACCTATACTGTATGCAACAAGAGACAGACCAAGACAATGGAAGGCCTTTATATACTGTGTCACAATATATCTGGAGATTGGAATGCATCTGATAACATATAGTGAAAATACCTGCAGGTGGGTGGAACAGACATGATTAACAGTAGTAGAGGTAAAAAAAAAGAAGAAAGGGGAAAAAAAGAGAGAAGAGTGGCAAACTCATTCTGTGCAGAATGCTGGATTCCATTTTTAATCACCTGTGCGCTGGGGCATAAATTCCTTTCCCCCACCTCATGTGCTGAATGTGCTACTTCTGCAGCTCCTACTGACCTAGGGATCTGAAATCCAAATTACTCCTCTTGCATGGCTCTGCAGAATACTGGGGCAAGCAGTTTTCTTTAAGTTTTGCACAAGATCTCGTTGAGATAAACTGCATCACTTATTTACGCACTGTGCATTTAGCAGAAGGGCAAAAACCTAATTTTTTAATCATTTGGCTTCCCTTCATTGGTGGTGTGAAAGAAATTAATCCACTTAGACTTTGTCTCCATAACATAGATTGTGTAAAATATTTTCTAAGCAGTGCAACTAGCAATATGTTTCTTTCCCCTGCTCAATCCAACAGTCACTACTGCACCACCCTATAATCTGGACTCTCCCACCAGTGCTGGTGTAATGGAAGACACTCCTGATGGAGGCTGCCATATTTACAGATATGGACATTATAAAACTACTATCTCCATTGTAGGTAAGTGCCTAAATCAATAAGAGAATAGGAAAATTGGTTGATATGGTACCGAACATATATATGGGCTGCCTTGTTTGTTCAGTTTACCTGCTATCGTGTAAACACCACAAGAAGGAACTATAAGAACCTATTCTGCAGGCTTGGGTCTGGTTTCATAATTTAACGTACAGTTAGCTGACTGGCATTGTTTGCTTTTTTACAACCCGGTTTATCCAGTTGCTAAGCTCAAAAGATATGAACAGTAGAGGATTTGAGTGAGTTTGTCTCTAATTAGAGTGGAGGGCAACTATTCAATATGGGGTGCAAGATTATGTGCATTGTAACATCTTAAAATTTCCAAGATTTTTTTAGGGGAATTTGGGGTGAGATAGAGTATAGTAAAGAGACCAGACCTGAGCTGACCATTAACAAACCACTTATCTTATTGAGTTTTTAAAGGTGTAGTCTTCAGAGCCAGTCAGGACAATTCAAACACAGACCATCTATGATTCTAAGTGGACTGTTTTTGCTGTATCATGTCATTGAGTGAGTAACATAACAGGTTGATGGGCTCTTTCCTCCCTTAGAGGGAATCCTTCAGGTAAACATTATTCAGATGACAAGTGTCCAGATGACAGTGGCTCAAGGTGAAAACTCCCTGGTTGACTTTGTTGTTACCTGCCAAGGGAGGTAAGTATATTCACTAATCTCCCTCTTTAGAAAATTAGGTACTTGGATGTTACTAGAATGCTACCCACATTCATATGCAGTTGCATGAACAACAGTTAGAAACACAGCAATTACCATCTGTTGACTGAAATTAAGATAATAGAAGTCTAATTTATGAGTTATATCAAGAGAAATTGTTGCCAGGTTCTTTGGCTTCAGACCAAAATGACATGCCTAAGCAAAACTAATAGAACTAGTTGGTGGGAAGAAGCAATTCTCTGTTTTCCAGGCAAAGATGGAGGACTTCAGCACTCATACTAAAAAGGGAAGTGGCTTGCTCAAACTGGGAGGAAGCCATCTTTCTAGCCATAGGTTTTTTGAAATTTTGGAATAAAAACTTGCGTCAAAGGAATTCCTTGGATGCAAAAAGCATTGCATTAATATTCCTAGCCACTGGAAAGTGTGTGGATCTGAGAGAACTGAGAGGTACAGATGAGTCTTGGCAACATAACTGGGAAATAGTCACTTTGAAAGTAATCCTAAAACTAGCAAGACATTCCTGCCACATGTACTAGTACAACTAAGAATTTCCAAAGAGTTTACATTGTATGCCTGGTGAACTGAACCAAAATTAATAGATTTCATCAACTAACTAGGGGCCAGATGATACTGTGCTTTGAGAAATGAGTGTAATTGCTGGTAACATTATATTAACTGAGTCTAAATGATGCCAGACATAGTTGTGAAATTATGTATGCTTGCAGGAGTGAAGTGGGGAAAATGCAAAGTCCTCTGTAGTCAGAAAATAATGAGTGTTATGCCAAGCAGCTAATTTAATGGAACATTAGGGCTACTGGGCCAGTTTTATATTGGTCTAACATCACTGATTCCAACAGAGTTGCCCCAGCATAAAACAGGTCCAACTGAGGAGAATCAGGCCCAGTGAATCTATGAATTGGATTAGTAATAGTATACATTCATTTTCTCTCTCACCCTTCCCCTAGTCTTCCTACAGATGCCTGTACAATAGTCTCTGACCCCACATGCCAGGTGTCACAGAATGTGGTATGTGACCCCGTTGAAGTTACTGATCAATGCTTACTGACCATCAGAAGAGCCTTCAATGAGCCCGGAACCTACTGTGTAAACATTACATTGGGTGATGATGCAAGCCAAGCCCTCACAAGTGCCCTTATATCTGTAAATGGAGGTGAGTCCAAATTGAACAGCTGTTGAGGATCTGTGAATAGCTTCTCTTCATGGGCATTTTACTCTGTGTGTGTGTGTGTGTGTGTGTTTGTGTCTCTCTCTCTCTCTTTTATTAATTATTTGCATTATGACACTGCTGAGAGGCCTCAACTGAGATTGGGCTCCATTATGTGAGAAACTATACAAACACATAATAAGAGATAGTCCCTGCCCCCAGAGAGTTTCTAATCTAAGTAGAAAAGAGAGACAAAGGGTGTGAGGAGAAAACAAAGGCACAGACAGGGAAAGTGACTTACCTAAGGTTACCCAGCAGGTTAGTGCTAAAACCAGGATTAGAATTTAGGTCCGTCTATCAATCTAAAGTATTCATATGCCCCCACAATCTTTATTGTATTTCTCCTCACAACAGCCCTGTAAGGCAGGGAAGTGCCATTATCTCCATTTTACAGATGGGGAACTGAGACACAGAGAAGCTGAGAACTTACCCAAGCTGACATAGGGAAATCTGGGGTGGAGCTGGAAAGTGCAGCCTGGTCTCCAAGTCCTAGGTTAGTGTTCTGGCCACTAGACTACACTGCCTCCCCATTGACTTCAATATTGCTGGGCTAATTTACATAATCTGAGGAAGTGGCCTTTGGTGTTCATTCACAACACTGTTTTCAGCAGATCTTATTTAGTTTGGGCCGGATCTGGTGAGTCCGTAACAGCTGGGGGCACTCTGGGCCAGATTTTCAAAGGTATTTAGGCGCCTAAAGATGCAGATAGGCACCTAGTGGGACTTTCTCCCATTGATTTCAATAGGAGTGAGGGGCGTAGGTGCTTTTGAAAAATCTCACTGGGTGCCTATCTACATCTTTAGGTGCCTAAATGCCTTTGAAAATCTGGCCCTCAGAGCTTTGCAGGATTGTGCCCTCCCTAAATTGGTGTGGTGTACAGCACGATTGTTTAACATAAGTCCAGTTTATGTGTATTTAAACTACTGTTAGGTAGGATGTAGTTCCACAATGTATACATGCCCCTTGGATGTATAATGCTTTCCAAATCACGTAAGGGTATATGTGATTCACACAGGAATGTACATCCCTGGCTGCTGTCTTCACAAGGACGACGGTGTAAACTAGCGTTACTGTCAGGTTTATCCAAACATTTATAATAACACACTGCAAGATGGTATGGTTTACATAGATTATGTCAACGGTTAACACTAATTTAAGACCTTGATTTGAATATATTTACATAGTAATTATGGATTAATAAATTAGGTCCAAATCAATGTGTATCTCTAGTTTACTCTGCTTTATAAACATAGTTGTGAACATGATAAGCAAGAGCATGACTGAGCATCAGTAAACTCACCACATAGATTGAAGAGCAGCCTCTGGACTGGAGAATTAAGATGCTTAATACAGATCATAAATGTAAATAATAATTAACAGTATTTATTTATTCAGTTTCTCCTGTGGCCAGATCTGGTGGGGTTAGGACTGGATCCAAGCGCAATGGTCTCTGAATTTAAGGCCATTCTCAGAGGTGGACTGGAAATTTGGTGGCAGAGCGACAGAGGAAATCACAGGCTGGGTCAAGAGTTAATTCCCCAAGCTGCCAGTATTACAAAAGCAGAACACTCAACCCCTAGGAGGGGCATCACATCATCATCAACAATCACCCCATCTACGGACACTCAGTCCTCTCAGGAGGATGCCCTGTCCAATCCTGGGCCAGAGAGGGGAATCACTAGAACGCACGTCTAGGGCAAATGAAAAGATACCAGAGAGAGTCCATTCTTTCTCCTCCCTCAAACTCTACTCCTCAATGACATGCTAGTTCTTATTCTCTGGGTTATAAAACGATTAAGTACTTTGCACTCTTAATTTAAACAGTCCCTTTGTAGCATAACAACTGGGCAAGTAGCAAAGTAACTCCAAATCTTGTGGGATGCCAACTAGCCCTGCAGTTCCTTTGCACATTGTAAAGGTATTTGCATGTTACAGTCAGCAAACAATATATTTCATATGGAAACATACAAGGCACTCTTAGTATTCACCTTTACTATAACCCAGTTGGTATCAAAGATGAATTGGACCCTACAGTCTGTGAATGCCGCTGAGCCCTATTGTTTAGCATAAAGGGAGTGTTAAATATACTGCACCTTCTAGAGTCATGTGGCAGAAAGAATGGTACTGCTGGAAAATTGTACCTCGCTGTACAGAACATGAGGCTAATATTTAAAACAAATTTGTTATTCAAGCTCCAGGGTCATCTTCGAGGACAGTGGAAGGTGTCTTGATCGCCTCAGGTTTCTTGGTGGCGTTTGTCATCATTGTGTCTCTCCTTCTTTACAAGTAAGTTGCTGGTTCCAACAGTTAAGAAATAGACCAGGATGACAAAAATGATTCCATGAATATTCAGAGGGATAAAAAATTGAATTTGCTTTGGCTATGTTTGCATCCTTTTGGGGTTTGCTTTCCACAAATATTTCAGCAAACGAGTTTACTGTCCGGAATGCTCATAAAACCAGCAAATTGTGGGTGAATATTAAAGAATATCATGGAAAACAAATTTTGAATTCATCAGCACAAGTAGTCATACTGGAAACATGATTCTATAAATTTTACTCATCCAATCAGAGAGAGGAAATAATATCAGGTGACTTATGTGTCCAATCAAAAATAGCCAATACATCTTAAGTTTCAGATTTAGAATACTCATAACAAAATGTGTATGAATGATCTGCAGACTAAGAATATTCATCAAAACTGTTAATCAAATAACTTTAACTAATAAATACATTTGAGAAAATACTAAGGAGCTTGCAGACAATTCACAAACAGATACATTTATATTGCAGTATCAGGCCTTCAAGATCCCATTGTGCTAGGCATTGTACAAACATATAGTGAATGACATTCCCTGTCCCAGAGAGCTTACAGTAAAAAAAAAAAAAAAAAAAAGACAGTCAAATTCATCATATAAATTATTTGCATAGCTCTAGCAGGAGTATTCCCACTCTTTCTAATTACTAAGTACCCTTGTTCTTCAGGCTTACGTTTTATTACCATCTGCATGCATTTACCCTGTCCTTTATCACAGTGTTCACTATTCATTCTCATTTAGTGTGAGAGCAGAACCAGTTGTTGTAGTAGTAGTAACTGCTACCAGTTACTATGACTAGGTTTAACCATGGTTGTTACTAGCAAGTTTCTAATACAGTTTCATTGAGCCTGTATGAACAGGGATTTTTTTGTCTGTGAACTGTATTAGAAGCAGATTATAAAACTATACCAGGAGCAGCAGAAGCACCCTAGAAGTGTGTGTGGGAGGCCCACAGGAGCCCAATCCGTGCCCCCCCGCCCCCCGTGGCCCTGCCTCTGCCCTTTCCCCTGAAATCCCGCCCTCGCACTGCCCCTTCCCCCAATGCCCCGGCCTTACGCTGCCACTTCTCCCTGAGGCCCCGCCCCATCCCTTCCCCCGAGGCCCCGTCCCTGCACTGCCTCTTCCCCTAAGGCCCCACTCCAGTGCCACCTCTTCCCCCCAAGACCCCACCCAAGCTCACTCCTCTCCCCCCTCCCCCATCGCCTGCCTTTGTGGCCTTTTAAATGTGCGGGGGGGCATGGCCCCTTGGGCCCCCCTCTTCCGGCACCCCTGGACTATACTTATAATAAGGGAGCAGTCGAGAGCACAGATTGGCTACAATACTCACAGTGGTGAGGGAAATCATGCTAGAACCTTGTCAGAACAAAACATGTTTACACAAAGTCACAGCTAGCACAGTTTTGCTTCCATGGTGAGCAGGGCCCTGAAAAGAGTTCAAGTGTTTGCCCCCAAAACAGGGGTGCTGGAACAAGGGGTGCGGTAGCATCCCCTGGCTTGAAGTTATTTCCATCCTATACGGGGTTTACCATTTTGTTCAATGACTTTCAGCACCTCCACTATAAAAATTGTTCCAATGCCACTGCCCCAGAATGCAGTGTGGTAAGGCTGGGTGTACAGCAACTTCTCTTTCCCAGTAAAACACAGAACTGTGTGCATAACAAGTCAAAATCATCTCTGGACCTCTATTATTTTCCTTAATAACCTCTCTAGACCTGGCAGCTCTCACATGATCATTCAGAATTAGTCACAATAGCCTCCTGTGGTGGTTTCCAGTTGTGGGGGAGGATGGAGGAGGACATGGTATCAATATTTGGATCTCTCACATATTCACAGTACCATGTTAAATATGCACCATCACTGGAATCCATTTCAGTAACTAACTTTACAATGTTCCTTGCAGGAGGTACAAAGAGTACAAACCTATTGAAAGAAGTGCAGAACAAGCGGTGAACAGGGAGGGACTGAGTGTTTACTTCAACAATGTCAAGGCTGTTCTCTTCCCTGGGAACAATGAGAGAGATCCTCTGCTGAAAAGCAAACCAGGAATTGTTTAAATCTTTAGCGTAACCTCTGATATTAGAGTGTATATACGGGGTTTATGGCTGAACTGTACTTCAATGGATGACTACTTACTATGAAAACAAACGATTAGGGTAACCTCCAAATATGGGTCGGTACATTTTGTAGCTCAATTTATTTAGAAATGGAAAATGGCTTCTTTTCAAAAATGGAGCCATTGTGATTACTCACTGTTCTTGCTTATGATCTGGGTCACAAAATATTGAATAATAAACCACTCTAGACTGGGCATGATTATTCAATTCACCTAGGTTAATTTGTAGCTTGGGAGAAGAGGCTAGATACTTTCTATCTCCTCAGTATTTAGATCTTAAATAAGGATTGCACAGTCCCAGTGTTCTAGTTTATTGCCCCTCTGCATGCATCCCGCAGTCTGGGCTTTGTGGGGTTGAAAGACATGGAGAATATCCGTAATGGCCAACCCTCAGTCACTTTATAAAACTAGATCACTGACATCAGGAAAACGGGTGAACAAAGAAACCCAATCTACTTGGCTCCTCCTAAACCAACTACTAAAAGTTCCATTTAAAATTCTTACTGTAGTTGTTGCTGCTACCTCTTGTAGCTGTTGTTTCTACTGGTTTTGTGCCATCTGAACTGACTGCCATCGGCAACAGTGTGTCCTATCTGTGTCAGAAGGAGCTGCTGTATTCCAGAGGGCAGACAAAGATGAGGCCCAGCAGAGTGGTGGTAACAGGAGAAAGATTCTATATCATTCAACTATTAGTAAAGAGAACTAAGAGGGGCTTTTTTTCCACTCCTTCTCTTCAATTTCATCTTGCTCTCTGTAAACAGCCACTAATTTCATTTTGATCCTCCTGTCCCTCTTTTTTTGACTATTCCCTCCAAATAAATGAAAACCCCAAGCTGGGTAGGGCAATATGCTCCAGTTTCTGCTTGTCCACTAAGCAGCTGAGAAACTATCAATATCTAGAAGGGTGATGTGCCTTTGCTTGCTTACTGCAGCTGCTGTGCTGTGTTAACTTTCAACTACAAATCTCACTTTGATATCTTTCTCAAGTGATCTAATAAAACCCTGTCTTTTAGTCACTCACTCTTGTAATTCCATATCATGGAGTTTAGCCCTGGATGCAATTTTCTACTTATCTCTTAGAAATAAAAACACCTTTCTGAAGACTGGATCACAGGGGGATATCAAAAGAGGAGAGTGTCTTGTCTGTGGCAAAAAGGGTTGTTGAGAAGGTTCAATCCTTGTGGGGTGAGAAGACAGCCGGAAATGCTCTAAATTCAAGGCTCTGTATAATAACCTGATACCTAATATAACAGTTTAAGGCAGAACAAAACTAACTTTTAGTTTGGGAGTTAGTGGATAATTTCACTTACCCATTTCTAAACACCAGTCACTGAAGACCTATTAATTGCCAACCCAACTGTGAACAATTTTGGAGTCTCCTTTATTCCTTCTAATCTGGAACATCCCTAATACATCTTTCCTCTCTCAGTCTCTGAAGGGCGATATAAACATAACCATATTTTGCTGTTTTCCTGGCAGCTGTTGCCTAATGCCCTAAAATAAGCCCTACCCTCCACCATACACACTTGTTAATAATTTGAGAATATCAATAATTGTACAAACACTTATGTGGTTAGTGCTTTGCTTAGAAATCTTTCAGGATGCAGTATTTTTTAGTTCTGCTCTGGCCACTGCACAAATATTAGTTAAAAAAAAAAACCTGTTGGTCACTGTCTTTCCCTCCTTATACATTAAATGACTTATCTTATGGGCTTGATGTAGAAATTACTGGGTGAGGTTTTATGGCCTCTGTTATGCTGAAGTCAAACTGAATGATCATAATGGTCCCTTCTGATGCTAAAATGGACAAATCTAGGACTCTTGCAAACAAAGTTGAATTTAAACACACACACACTCTCTCTCTCTCTCGAATAAATCCGCTGTAACGTTTTCTTTTTGATATATGCACTACAGTCTAGCTTCCCATCATAGGTATTTGTGACATCAATCAACTTGATATCTAAGCGCTAATTTAATTACAACTCATCATCAAGGAAGAACAGTTCCATCTCTTAATCCAAACTAGAAGCTTTTTCAAAGTCTGGGAGTAGTTTAGTTAAACCAGTTGTGTCAAGTTGGAACAACTGGAGCACTATGACTCTATTTGATAGCTATACTTATGGGGTCAGATCCCAACACCTGATAAAAGCTGATTTAACTGGGTCATTGCGGTTGCCTTGGTGTAGGGGAAATCCCTACAGGGTGTAGACCTGATGGAGCCCACCAGACCTGGCACAGGGATTACGTTGGGGCATAGTCAGAACTCTACCATACTCAGTGATTCTTGGCTGAGGAAGTGCCCCATTGGGTATCACTGCAACCAGGCATAAGATAAAGCAGCCTTTAGGCAGCTCTAAGTTACTCCAGGATTCAAGGAAGCTAAAGGTGAACTTTGCCCATTCCTAACCCCTCAGCTGAACTGATTGGAGCTCTGATGCAGCTAAGAATCTGGCCCATGAGTTTTAAGGACCCAATCCTTCAAACATTTACTAATGGGAGTAGAAAGTGTTGACAGGACAGGGCCCTTAGTTTGCATTTTTCTAGTACAAAATTGAGGACTATCGTTTGGTAGCGCAGATGGGAGCTAAAACTACTAGTGGCACAGAATAGGGAGTGCTGGTTTATTTGCATGTTGATGGCACTCCTTTCAGAAATTCAGCAAATGCAACTTTTAGCCTTACAAAGAGAGTTAGTGAAATACATTGTGTATATACATGATCCTGCTTTTCAGGTTGAAAGAGCATAATAAAGATTATGGTTTTAAATAAAAGTGATTACAGATTTAGTGACAGGAAAGAGGACAGTTGTAATTTGTATGCATTTCCCTAACTTGAAACAGGAGAAAGTTTTTAATAAAAACCTAGTATGAGTTCACTTCGGTTGCAATTGTATCACTTTTGAATCAAAGCTGATGTGGGCTATTGGTGACCTAGGTTCTAAGCAGACAGCATGTTACTTCCCAGAGAATGCTATGTGCTATACAGGAACTCAGAGGCATCATCAGTGCTTATACAATAGGCAGCTTTCAGCCATGCTTAGAAAAGTAATACATTTTATACTTTAACCTGTGTATATGGAACAGCTCAGAGAAACTTCCTTTACATCTCATGTTAGGGGATTAAAGTTTACGCCTTTTTATTTTCTATCTTCTCTGCTGTAACTTCCAATAAATACATATTTGTTTTTATCTAATGGGATCTGATGCTGTATTGGACAATAAACTATCTGGAGATTTCAAACAGGATGTTACCTTTGTCTTGTAAGGAGATGTAGTCAAATGAGTGACCTACTCAAATGAGTCACCTACTTACTGGGCACCAGGACAGTCGCTACTCCTAAGAGATGACCCAAAGGGACCTGCAGTTACACTGTAAATGTAAAGTGAATCAAAAGTAACAGGTGCCATCCCATTGCTTGTTTGGTGGTGGGAATCTAAGCCTCCTGCTACACTTTTTCCTTTCAACCTTAACTAGAACAAAGGTGCTAGCAATCTTAGGAGTGAGGCGAGCTTTCTCAGCAACTGGCCCATGAACGTGGAACCCACTTCCAGAAGAGATCCAGAATAATCACGGAACTCAGCACCTTTAAAAGAAACAGCATGTGATGAAGACTAAAACACACAAATGCTAGGAGATGTACAGTTCTCATGCACGCCTTAGGAGATTCACCATTAGCAAATATCTCTACCTCAAAAGGAGAGGGAATTCAGACATGAATAAATCTCTTATTTGGAAACAAGATCATTTCAAACATGCCAGCAAGAATGAGTTGTATGACATGTTGCTGAGCAAGCTGGCTTTGAGTTACAGGAGTGCATTATTATTAACAAGCTTTTTAGAAAACAGAAGCACATATTTTTCATAGCAGCATAACTAAAAAAAATGCCTCATCAGATTTAATGTTTTTCATACAAAAAAAGTCACATGTAGGCAGTGGCTAAGCATAAGAAAATTCACCCCTTTCAGGCATTCCCTCAGACAGTTATAATGGAGTGAAAACTAGGGGTTAGAACAGATTTGCTCATCCAACCTTCCACTATGGGAGTGCTGTGACTCCAGCATGGGCTGTAATGTTAATCTTCCATTACCATGGAACTGGTATTCCCTAATATTATATGCTAATGTATGCACATGAACTGTCAGATAAAGACTCTGAAGCCGCAACAGGGAATAACTTGATGAGTGAACTTAGAAGAGCCCTCTAACCTTTAACTTCTTGGAGGAGGGGGGAATTGGATGCAGGCAGGTGGCGTGCAGAACAAAAGCAGATGTTTCTAGACACTAGCTCATGCTTGAGTCTGCAGCAGCTTCAAGATATGTTTGAACCAAACAATTTCTTTAGCACAGACACACAATGAGATGTCAATACTTCATGATGCTAGCTTTGGATTGGGAGCGGGGGAGGAGTTTCCTTCAAAAGAAGAGCTGGCTTGGAATTATTTCCAGTCTCACGACATCTTTTGTCTCAGAGTTTGTTTCTTCTAAGTATCTTTTCACTCACTTCAGCCCAGTGACATATGCTGCCTTATGAACAAGTCTCATAACTGTAGGGCTAATTTTCTTTCTCTCCTCTATAATTGGTGGCATTTGATCCAGTTCTGTTTCAGTAAATATGTGAGGGGGGAGCTCAGCATTAGCTGGACTCGGCTATACTTTCTGTTGTCATAAACTGCTGACATTTGGTTTTTTTAACACTTGATTTCAGCCTGCCTTAGCAAGACTATTCTGTATTATACTAAGCATATTAATTAGCATTGCCTGTGCATTATATGACTATAAATTATGCATTTTGTAGGCACCTATTATTCATAGAATGCATAAACACATTCACATTATGCACAAAGAAATAACAAAAACTGTTTTTGTATCGGCTTCCTACATGAGGCTGGATTGTTTGAAAGCGAGATACAAAAAGTTTGAGTACATGATTATAGTTTGCACAAGACTTTTCTTTCCTTTGTTTTAGTATTCCAATTCCTGATCCTTTCCTTTTTCCAGCGAAAACACATTAATACAATTTTTTCAGTCCAAAATAATTTCCAGAGCCTGATATATTTGGTACTGTGTACTTTAACACCACAATATATTACTGAATCAGTGTTATAATGCAGCTAAAGTGGCTATTCCAAAGTAGGCTGGAGGAAACAGTGAAAGTAGATGCTTTGCAGGGGCGGCAAACTGCGGGGGGGGGGGGGGGGGGGCCTGCCAGTCGCTGTGAGGGTGGCAGTCAGGCGGCCTTTGGCGGCATGCCTGCGGGAGGTCCGCCGGTCCCGCGGTTTCGGCGGCAATTCAGCGGCGGGTACGCCGAAGCTGCGGGACCGGCAGATCACTCGCAGAAACGCTGCCGAATCCATGTGACCGCGGACTGCCCACAGGCATGTCACCGAAGGCCACCTGACTGTCGTGCTTGGGGCGGCAAAAAACATAGAGCCGCCCCTGATGCTTTGGCCTGATTTTCTCAGCAGGGTGGTATTGAGCTTTGGCTACACAGGAGATTTGCCCTGATTCCAGCCTACGCTGGTCACTTACAGGTTTAAATTAGTGTAAATGGTGAATTCTCTGTAACTTGAAGTCTTTAAATTATGCTTTGAGGACTTCAGTAACTCAGCCAGAGGGTATGGGTCTGTTACAGGAATGGATGGGTGAGGTTCTGTGGCCTGCAACATGCAGGTCAGACTAAATGATCATGATGGTCCCATCTGACCTTAAAGTCTATGAGTAACCAACCACCACATGTAAATGTTTGCTTTTTAGTTTTATACTGTGCAACCTAATTGCCTTGTCGTCTGATACTATTATTATTATTTATTTAGTGCCATAGTTATGCATAGCACATGTTAGATGTACAGTATCCTTACAGAAATCACAAGCTAAACTGGAAAAAGAACAAGAGTACTTGTGGCACCTTAGGGACTAAACTGGGTTAGGCCAAGCCATTAATTAGTTTGCAGATCAGAGTGTACATTGCAACAGCTGGGTGGTCTCCATTATTTAATCTGTCCCCAAGATTTGCAATCAGGCTACATACACCATGGTGATCAGTGTTGATCATTAAAGAGTGCAACACACACTTCATAAGAGTAAGGCTGTTAATTCTGATGTATTGGTCAAATTGCAACTCTGATCATTTCATTCTGTCTATGTAAATCTACCCTATCAGTTCTCTTGGAAAATGTATTCTTTTTCTTCCTAACCTACACCCTAGTGTAGTGTTGCTGTGTACTTTTAAAAACTTTTAACCCCAGAGTTAGTTGCATTTCAGTGGTGGATGAAATGATACTTGCATAGAGTTTATATATCAATTTGTAAAGAGTACTAGTTTCCTTCAAGAGCATCATTATTTTCAAAATGTATAGCAATGAAAGCAAAAGAGAAGAAAAACTGAGTTCTCAAACTATTATGTTGTTTTTCTTTAAAGTGACAGCTTTACCTGATCCCACAAACCCTTACACATTTAGTCGTCATGCAAGTATTTCCATTAACGTTGAGAAGACTTACTTGCATGAGTAAGGATGACATATATGAACAAGAATTACAAGACTGGGCCTTCCAACATTAAGCAAAATTCAACATTTTATTAACTATCATAGAATCATAGAATATTAGGGTTGGAAGAAATCTCAGGAGGTCATCTAGTCCCATCCCCTGCTCAAAGCAGGACCAACACCAACTAAATCATCCCAACCAGGGCTTTGGCAAGCCGGGCCTTAAAAACCTCTAAGGATGGCAATTCCACCACCTGCCTAGGTAACCCATTCCAGTGCTTCACCACCTCCTAGTGAAATAGTGTTTCCTAATATACAACCTAGACTTCCCCCACTGCAACTTGAGACCATTGTGTCTTGTTCTGTTATGCACTACTATGCAACCCTTTCCACTACCATTGATGCTTTACTCCTAGTTCATAATAATTTGTTTACCTATTTGAATAGATCAGAGTTTGCCAAAGAGCAGGTGTTATCAAAATATTATTGCTGGCTGAAATTTTCAAAGGCTTTAAGTTGAAATGGGGCCTTATATGAAAATTAAAAATTTTAAGAAAAATGAGGGGTATTTTTGAGATTTTTTGTTGTTTGCAAATAAATTTTTGCAGTATTTTCAATTTAAAAAAATTGAGAAATGTTTACCAAATAATTAAAAAAAAAACCTAGAAAACGGTTCCACTTAGAACACTACTAAATGGAAACAGCTTTGACATATATTTTTCAATTTTTTTGACCAGCTCCACAAAATATGTGCCATGGGATGTTCCACACAGGAGCACCCACCCATTTCAAATCACACAAGGTGAGCAATAGAGCTAAACTATCTATATGCTCTGGCTGTTTTTCAGGAACAAAGTATAAACATTGCGGACAACAGATCCTTTACATAAATCTGTTTGGCAAGTGTTTTTTGCTTCCTTTCTTTACTGGCCACAAAAAAGATTTTAGTTTAAAAAAATGGGGAACAAATGACTAGATTCTACAGTCCCTCCCCCTCCATCTCTTCATCTTGCAGCACTCCTGGGAAACTGAGTTTATCACAGGTTAAAGGTAATATTTCTGATAAAATACTGGGAACATGTCACTGATTGTCAGTTCACATTTTCCTTTCTAGCCCCATCCTGAAGGGAAACTGACTAACCTGGTTTCTTCTGCAGCTGTTAGTGCGGCTGCTCCTCCACAGCCCAAGAACAATGAGAAAGAGAGAGAGAGAGATGCTAACAGCAGGGGACTGAGTCAGAGGGCAAAGATGGGAACTGGGCGGGGGGGGGGGAGTTTATTACCAACCTCAAGTGTTCAAAAATCATGAGTTGGTTTCTCCCCCCCACCACCCCAAAAAAGCCTGAGATTGGTTTATAAAGCCTGAGATATTTTTAAAAAAGAGTAAAGTTGGAGGTCGGGGACATGTAGTTTCTCTCTGCTCTGTTTATTTTTTCAAACCATTTGGGGGCACTTGGGTGTAGTGCTTAATGTCTCATGAAAGAGGGGCCGGAGCTCAAGTGATTAGGTGCTGGGGTCAAACAATTTTTTTACTTTCATAACTGATGCAGCAAGCCCAGAGGTGCCGGGACTATGACATGCCAAGCCCAGAGATGCCGGGATTCAGCCCTGGCACAAATTAAACACTGCTGCGACCCTCAGGGCTATGAACGTACTTTTATTGCTCGGCAAGCTGCATGGCTCACGAATAACGTGACTCCAGGAGCTGGGGGGGTCAGGAAAACACCCCTGGTTGTGAGACTCACCCTACACCTGGCAGCGCTGGCACTGTTCCTCGGCATCCTCCGGCCACTGCTGGGGAGGCACACATGGCACCCCTGCCAAGGGCCCCGCGATGCCCCAGGGGTCAGCAGCAGGCTCCCTCCTGGCCTAGCGCACTGATGCACCGACAGCCCCTGGGCTCTTTGCTGCGGTGCCCCCTGGTGCCCAGGGCCGGGGTTATACGCAGTGGGCTGGGGCAGGGGTGCTAGGGTTACCATCTGGCCGGTATGTGACTGGCCCGGCCAGGTTTTTTGTTTATAGCTTTTGCCAGTTGCCAGAAAAATAATTTAGTCCGTCCGGGTTGTTTTTTTAACATGGGTCTAAAGATTTGCATGATCAGCACAGCAGCCGCGGCCGCGAGCGAATGTTCCGAGTTTCCGTGTCCAGCTGCGATGTCCCCAGCTCAGCGCTAACCGATCGAACCTGCTCAGACAAGACCCCGCCCAGCGCCGGGCGCGCGCGCGCGGGCGGGTTTGAGCCCCGGGGAGCGAGGAGCGGAGGGACGGGGTCTGGGCGCGCGCTCTCCACACGCCGGACCTGGCTGCCGAAGGGGGGTGCAGCGCTGCCTCTGGCCGGCCCGGGGGAGGGGTGTCCGGTGCCCGAGCCCCTGGGGCCGCCCCAAGGGGGACGGTGACCATCCCATCTCCCCCCCGCCCAGCTCCAGGCTGTCACTGCGCCTGCGCCATCCCTCGGGCCGGAAGGCGGCGCGCGGCCAGTCAGTGTCGGAGGCGGTACTTACGGCAGCCAATCAGTGCGGGGATCGCCATGAGGGCGGGGCAGTGGGAGGTCTCAGAACACTGCCGCAGCCAGAGTTCCGTGCCGTGGCCCGACGACATGTGGCGGGGCAGCCGCTGGCTGCGGGGGCTGGTGCTGCCGGCGGTGAGGGGGCTGCGGCGGCGCCCTGCAGCGCCGGCCCCGGGGGCCGCTGTGCGCTGCGCTCCCTGCTGGGCAGGGCTGGCGGGGCGGGCCCTCGGCGGCGGGCCCAGCGCGGAGCTGCGGGCGGGCGGAGGAGCCGAGCAGGAGCGCAGGGCCCCAGGTACAGCGTGTGCCGGGCTGTGGGCGCAGGTGCCGCCTCCGCCTGAGACACTGCCCGCCCCCTGCACACCGTCCCCATCCCCTCCCCGGGCTGAGCCGCCCGCCCCCTGCCCTGCACACCGCCCCTCCCTCCCCCCGCTCCTATCCCACTAGGCAATGCCTGGCGTGGGGGAGACCAAGCCGCTGTACACTCCAGCCTCAGCCAGGGAGTTGAGGTTTGGTTGCCCCTGCACTGAGCCAGACTTCCCCATCCATCCCCACCCTGCATGGGGGCCTAACCCCGTGGGGGTGTCCGGCGAGATGTGCTCCAGGAAGCTCTGGGCTCTGACCCAGGCAGATGGGGGTGCTGGGCAGTGCCACTGAACTGACTGGAGAGAGCGAGTGCGCACATGGGTCAGTGCATCCATACTGCCTTGCTGCACCTGGTTGGGGGCCGTCCAGCTGTGTCTGTGCAGTGGCTTCTGGGCACCTGCCCCACAGCTTGCAGAAACAGTGCATTCTGGGACATGTTAGAAGGTGGCTGGTGTACTGTAGACCAGCTAGTCCATGTCCATACCAGCTCAGACAGAACAAGTCCCCAGACTTGCAGACAGCATCCTCTCCCCATGTTCTAAGACCCATTTGGAGTAAACTGGCTGGGACACTTCTTGGGTGTAAATGCAAACTGTTCTAATTTCTCTATGGAAGAGGGAGCAGAATATTCTGTCACTTCAGTAAATACTGTCTTTAAAACAGTTCACCCCCCCCCCCCATAGCTATGACGGGGGTTCTGTCTCCCTTCCTCCTTTCCCAGAGAGTAAATCTTGACAGGTGTCTAAACACACACAGCGCTGGTGGTCTTGTTTGACTCCACATGTGATCTATATGCATGACTCTAGTTTAAAAGCTAATTCTGATCCTAAGAATCTTCAGTGGGATCAGTCGTACTACTAAGGTCTGTCATTTCACACCACTAAGATCCTCCTTCCAATAAAGCACAGTGTTTCACTGCTAGGAATTCAATACCTGTTCAAAATTAGTGTTTTTGTAAATAAAAAGTAAAAGAGGATTAGCATGAATCTCCAACTCAGCTGTAGATAAAATATTGTTAGTGTAGATTCTGTAAAGATTCTGCAAGTTTGGGCATGAACATACTATATAAATTGAAGGTTCCTCTCCTCTGACCTGTGTGTCTTGGCTTTGTGACACAAAACCATCCCCACCCAGGCAAGCCAGTGGAACAGGGTTAAAATAGAACACAGGAAAAAAGGAAGAAAAATAAACTGTTTCCTACAGTCAAAGATGACAGAGTAAAACTATTGGATTTCAGGGTCCTCTTCAGCTGTGGAATCCAAATCTTTGAAGATGATTTGTATTTAATGTTTTGTTAATTCCTGCTGAGGACAGAGGCTTCAGGCTTGCAGAAAAGGGGGAGGATCAAAAGGGATCAAAACATGAGTGGAGCATTCTAGTGAAGTGTTTAAGTTAAATATAGCTTTTGATAGAGGTACAGGTATGTATACTATACCAAGTTGTTTCACACATCTCTGCTGAAGAAGATAAACTCTTTTGCCACAGATGTAAGCCAGGTCTCCCCTAGAAACTATTGTTGGTATAATATCAATGGGAGGAGGGCATGGTGAACCAGACACACTCACATTTCCATAGTTGCAAAAACCATAGGGTATACTTATTTATACTGGCATAAAAGTACTCTTTCCATTATAGCTTATTTCCCTTAGAGAATAAGTGGTGTCTGCACTAGGAGAGCTTGCTGGTATAGCTATGTCAGCAAACCTCTTCTAGAGTAGACCTATCGGTAGCAGTCATTGCGATCCTGTGCTTGGAGGGCGGAGGGGCTCATGTGTTTGTTTTACAGGCCTCTGATCAGTTTCATGCTATATACATCTGGTTATTGCCTCCCTATTTGGCTTTTTCTCTGTATTGAGGCTGATAGGTGGTGAATATGAACTCAGCAATGCTCTGTTAATTTTACAGTTCCAGGTAGGGGAAGGGGCATTGCACATTTCTGATAAATAGAAACAGACCTTGCCCTACCTAGTTAGGTCTTAGCTACACACACAAATGATACTCATTTGAATAAATCTATTTAGAAACAAATTAGTTAAAACGGTCCATGCAAGGGGGTTGCGCTGATCTATGTCAGTTTCTGAATGGATTTCGTTAAATTGGTCAGAGTGGGTCTGTAGAAAAGGCTCTATGGTCTGTTAGAAATGATGAGATAAAGGCGAGATCAGGGTATGATGGTAAGAATGGGAACTTTATAAGTAGGGCACTACCAAATTCATGGTCCATTTTGGTTAATTTCACAGTCATAGCATTTTTAAAATTGTAAATTTAACAGTTTTAGATATTCAAATCTGAAATTTCAGTGTTGTAAGTGTGGGGGTCCTGACCCAAAAGAGGGTTGTGTGTGTGTATGTGTCACAAGGCTGTTGTAGGGGGGTCATGGTATTGCTACCCTTACTTCTGCGCTGCTGCCTTCAGAGCTGGGCAGCTGGCTAGCAGCTGTGGAATTTCCTGCAGCCAGGTGAGGATTCCAGAGGTGGGTCTGACCTGGCCCTGGGAGGTGACTGTGCACGGGAGAGGAAGTCCTGTCCCTCCCCAGCTTGTCCGGGACTAGCAGCTGAAGCCCAGCACACCGCATGAGCCCTTGGCAGAGGCACCCGCAGCCCTGCCCCTCCCCGGATCCAGGCCCAGTGCTTGGGAGTTAAAGGGGCCTTGGGCTGGCTGTGTGTGTGGGGGGGACTGACCATGGCACCCCCCTGATCATGGGGCCCTGGGCGGTAGCTCACCTGTAAGGCCAGCAATGTCATCCCAAACAGTGACAAACCCCAGCCTTCATACCATGCCATGCTCACTTCCGCGCCGCCTTCAGAGCTGGGCTTCCAGCCACCCGCCACCATTCTTCAGCTGCCCAGCTCTGTGAAATCTGATCTCCCTTACACTAGCCAGATTTCACCAGGGAGATCAGATTTCACGCTCTGTGACATGTTTTTCACATCTGTGAATTTGGTAGGGCCCTATTTATAAGATGACTTGTTTCCACAGTGTGTGTGTTATGCAAGGTCAATTTTTATATGTTTGTTTATCCTACATAGGATTTGATAGTGCACTTGTTACCATTGTGCCTGATGTCTCCTTATCACTGGCATTTTAGAACTTAAGCATTGTTTTGAAATATTATATACAATAATTACAAATAGTGACTTAGTTATCTCTTGTTAAGTCTTACAAGTCACCTAAAGAAACACTGTATCTTAATGCTTCCTGTCTACAGTAGAACCTCAGAGTTACAAACACCTTGAGAATGGAGGTGGTTCGTAACTCTGACATGTTCCTAACTCTGAACAAAACATTATGGTTGTTCTTTCAAAAGTTCACAACTGAAAATTGACTTAATACAGATTTAATACATTATTATCACAACACCCTCGCATAGCGAATGTAGTATGTGGAAGAAAAATGCTGCTTTTAACCATCTTAATTTAAATGAAACAAGCCCAGAAACAGTTTCCTTACCATGTCAGATCTTTTTAAAAAACTTTCCCTTTTTTTTAGTAGTTTACTTTTAACACAGTACTGTACAGTATTTGCCCTTTTTTTTTTTTTTTTTTTTGGTCTCTGCTGCTGCCTGATTGCGTACTTCCGGTTCCAAATGAGATGTGTGGTTTACCAATCCATGCGTAACTCTGGTGTTCATAACTCTTAGGTTCTACTGTAGCTGTCAGAGAAGTGTCTAGCACACTGTGGATACTATATAAATAACTGATGTCTAGTAACAGAGTATTATTAACCATAAGCATCAGTTTAGTTCCCTGTTTTTAACTGCCAAGAGTTTGGTTTTTCTCAGAATCATTATTCTAGCAACTGGAGTTCACATTTCAATCCTTGTTTTTAGCATCATCTCAAATTCCAGAATGGCTGGCTACCATAGATTATAATTTAGTTCACCCTCACTCTTCATTGTTTTTCAGTGAGTTTAAGTAGACAGTTTTTGTAATTTGTTTTAAAAGGGAAATCACAATTTGAAGTCTTGTTCTTTGTTTCAGATCATGCTCTTTCCAAGTTCAATATTGATCTTATCATCTCTCTACTGAGGCAAGAAAATGCTAGCAACATTTGTGTTATCCAGGTGCCTCCAGAAATGAGATACAGTGATTATTTTATAATTGTGAGCGGATCTTCTTCAAGACACCTCTATGCTATGGCGCATTACATGCAGAAAATGGTAGGACAGTTATTTCCACTCTTCACTTGCTTTAGATTCTGAATAGTTTTAATTGGAAATGTATGTTGTGATATATTTGCAAAAGTGAGAATTAAACATAGCAAAATATATAAATTTTATCGCTAAAGTAGCAACCAGACAAGGTGAGGTTCATTGTTCTTACGCAGTATTACCCTTTGTACAAATAGGAGATGCTGAACCTAATCTGCTTTCTTAGGTAAGGAAATAAAATGTAAAGCGTAGACTGTGAATGGAGACCTCTCTATACGAGGAAGAGGACGATTGCAGTGCAGAGTTTTGTGGAATGAGAATTTGGGGCCCCCACACACAGAAGATGGTAACTGGTGGTGGAGTGATAATTGTTCTGGTTATATGTGACATCCTAGAATGTTCAAAGTTTAAAATGCAGCTGAGCGATCTAAGCAAAATTGGCTTTATTACTTAAATACCATATTTCTTCAAAGGAAGGCATGGCCTTAAACACTGGAGTGTACAAATAAACAGAATCCCGCTCTGCTGTGGGGAGAAGGAGAGCAACAGCTTCATGGAATTGCCTTTACTTCCCTGACCCTAGAGCCATCCTCTGGAAGTATTGGGGCTGGGATTGTGGCATTATACTCTGCATCATACCCACCCCTAACTTTGTGGTGGTTGCTGACTAAGAATCTTCTTCTTTGCTTTCCCATTGTGCTGAGTGGCAGCCCCATCTTCTTTGGAGCAGGGTTGTGCTCAGGGCACTTTTAAGAGCCCATGGCAGCATGGTAAAGGATGGATCTCATGGGATCTGAGATTTAGGAGGTCAAACTACCTTCCAGTTTTGAGGGGGAGATGACTCACACACATCCTAATACTACGATGTGTTGGAAACCTAGATGTGTAGACTCATTTTCTTGTCTTGTAGCTGGTGTAAAAACCTGCACAGAGCTATAATGACCTGGCCCTAACTCTATGATTTGATTTTTCATAAGAGTGGGGCAAGTGTTCTGGCCTCTTCCATGAAACAGAACTCTTCTGTCTCTCTGTGAGAAGATCTAAAAGCGCTTGGATAGTGAAATAATGGTTATTGACTTTGGAACAGGGATTCTGCAAACTGCTTTTGGATCTTACAGATTTCCCATCTCATAACACCCAAATCCTTCCCCTAGTGCCTGGTTCTCAAAAATATTCAATTCTGTGGACCACAGTTTGACTACTGCTATTTTAGATCATCTTAAATTAAGTGCATATTACCTATGAAGCTTGCATGATTCATAGGATACAGTTAGCTCCCTTTAAATGGCAATTGCTATAAGATTACACATGCCAAGGTTTGCTCATGGGAGTTAGCTTTGTGCCTGTCTAGAGGGAAAGGGAGAGCAGCAGTTCTCCTTTAGTTGGAATTATACCTGTTAATCTCTTGCAGTACACAGCCTGTGCAAAATCTAGAAAGGAAATAGTCCATCTGCTCATCACATCTGAATCCTGGGAGCTTTTATTCTGGCTGGATTTTTGTATTGAAAACAAAGATGGGGTTGAAGAGGCTTATAGCATTACAGGTCTGCCCAAAAGATTTACAGCAGCTGGAGCAGCTTTCATGTCTTGTAATAGCCCGGTTTGCTCTTACTCATGCAGCACAGAGGATGTGTAACTTATACGCTTCACCAGTGGTAGCTGTTGACACTAGCTTTGTATTCTACTTGCCCTTGTTGCTGATTCTGCCAGCCACAAACATCCAAAAGGTGAACCACAGTTTTCCTTCTTATTTCCTGTATTTTCCTTGGCCGTAGGGTCATAGAGTCATAGACTTTAAAGGTCAGAAGGGACCATTATGATAGTCTAGTCTGATCTCCTGCACAACGCAGGTCACAGAATCTCTCCCACCCACTCCTGTAATATACCCCTAACCTATGTCTGAGCTATTGAAGTCCTCAAATCATGGTTTAAAGACTTCAAGGTGCAGAGAATCCTCCAGCAAGTGACCCATGCCCCATGCTGCAGAAGGCGGTGAAAACCCCCCAGGGCCTCTGTCAATCTGCCCTGGAGGAAAATTCCTTCCCGACCCCAAATATGGTGATCAGCTAAACCCTGAGCTTGTGGGCAAGACTCACCAGCCAGACACCCAGGAAAGAATTCTCTGTAGTAACTCAGATCCCACCCTCTTCAGTGTCCCATCACAGGCCATATTTACCGCTAATAGTCAAAGATCAATTAATTGCCAAAATTAGCTATCCCAGGGGTTAGTAACCTTTCAGAAGTGGTGTGCCAAGTCTTCATTTATTCGCTGCAATTTAAGGTTTCGTATGCCAGTAATACATTTAATGTTTTTAGAAAGTGTCTGTCTATAAGTCTATAATATCTAACTAAACTATTGTTGTATGTAAAGTAAATAAGGTTTTTAAAATGTTTAAGAAGCTTCATTTAAAATTAAATTAAGATGCAAGAGCCCCCCGGACCATATGAGTGCCACTGAAAATCAGCTCACGTGCCGCAGGTTGCCTACCTCTGGGCTATCCCATCATACTATCCCCTCCATAAACTTATCAAGCTTAGTCTTGAAGCCAGATATGTCTTTTGCCCCCACTGCTCCCCTTGGAAGGCTGTTCCAGAACTTCACTTCTCTGATGATTAGAAACCTTCATCTAATTTCAAGTCTAAACTTCCTGAGGGTGGGTTCCTCAGTCTGACATTGATCACTTAAGCATTTGGGTTCTTTCTAACCCCTCCCCCCCTTTTACCTCTCCTTTTTTCCCCTCTGAATCTCCCCTCCCCAATCATCCTACTCACTCACTCCTGGCAGTCTTCTGTTTTTCTTCTTCCAAAATGGTGGGTTTTAACAGTGAGAAGTAGGACTGGAAGAGTAGAGCTGAACTCTGTTTTGTTAAGCCCCAACCTAGGGGCATCTGGGTTCTGTGCCATACACCATTCATCATTGCAAGCAGGTATTCATATTGATGTGATTTAACATACTAAATTGAATACTTACCCTGCATTACTTCATTTGCATGGTCAGTATTATAGCAGTCAGTCCTGCTGTTTCCATGTCCCCCTACGGACAGCAGTGCCTTTTCCCCTAAAGTCCAGGGAGCCTCCTTTTCTCTCCTTCCTCTCCAGCCTAATGGAAAGGGCTTCTGGTCTCTGGGCTGCAGCCTTCTCCTCCCCCTGGTGGCTACTGTCTATAGCACCATCTCTGTACTACTGAGCTGAGCTCTACAGGAGGAGGAAGTCCCTGCGAGAGGGGAGAGCCTTGGAAGAGATTTGGGCTCCCCTTTCCTGGGTAACTTGAAAACGGTGGAATTTGAGCAGTTACTTGAGCACCCACAAAAGAATGCCTGAAAGTGGGAGTCTTCTAGACAAACCACAGGTTTTAACAAACCCGAGACCGCTTAGGGCAGGAGAGCTTGGCAGCTAGTTAGGTCCATTTCTTCTCCCATCCCCACCTCCAAATGCATTTGTGAGTGAGCCCAGATCTTGTAAACTGCATGATGACAACTACTATTTACCTTTCTTAAAAAAAAAAAAAAAAAAAGTCACAGGGCAGGTGCATTTGGGAGCCTAAAACTTAGTCTTGCCCTACTGCAGCTTTGGCTTATCTTTCAGTGAGACATTTTAAAAAGCCCAAATACCTCAACTCAACCTTTCCACACATTGCTACCCACTTAGCAGTGTGTGCTGACCCTTGCTCTAGTTCAGGCAAAAATGCAGATAGTATTTCAACAGCTAAAGACGGACTAGGATAATATTAGAAGTATATGCTGTCACACAAGGGAAAGGGCTTATTTTTTACTGGGATGTGTTGTACCACTTATTATTACCCTTAATTTTAGCTTGTAACTTTGTAAGCAGAGGCCCTTTACCATCTTAGGTGTCTGTACACTACCAAAACCAATAAGGACTGCATCTGTGATATTTTCCTATTGAAGTCAGAAACCCTCCCTAACCAGCCAGGCCCATCTACTGACTTCCTCAGCACTATTTGCATGTAGTTGTTTTCATAGCTTATTAAGGCCAGAAGAGACAACTGTAATCCTCCAGCCTAATCACCTGCATAACAGGGCATAGAATTTCATTAAGTAATTCTTCGCTTGAACCCCATAACGTTTGGTTGAACTACAACCTACTTTTTAGAAAGGCATCCAGTATTAAAGACTTCAGAGGGAGAATTTACTATGTTCTTTAGGCAGCTGTTCCAATGGGTAATTTTGCTCATTGCTAATATTTACATCTTATTTCCAGTTTACGTTTTTCTACCTTTAACTTCTGGTCGTTGGATTGTTTATTTCTTTGTCTCCTAGAAAAGAGAAACCGTTCAGTAGTTCTTTATAGACTATGATCAAGTCACCTTTTTAACTTCTTTTCAATAAGCAAAATAGATGAAGCTCCTTGAAAGGGATTGTCATGTTTTCCAGACCTTATTTTTTAATCTCTCTTCCAAATTTAACATCCTTTTGAAAGCACGGACCCCAAAACTGGGTGTAGATTCCAGTAGATGTTTCACCAGTGACATATTCAAAGTTTATTTCTTAGACAATTTGTCAGGCTTTAGCTGCCTGATAGGGTTGAACATTTGGAAGTATCTGTCTTCACACTGATTTGCTGCTTCTTTTACAGTACAAGCAGCTGAAACAAGAAAATGATCCTCACGTTCAGATTGAAGGGAAAGACACAGATGACTGGATGTGCATTGATTTTGGTAAATATTTACAAATTTCACAGATGCTAGTTCCATGTGAACCATGTGTTGAGGGCAGCATTTCACTGGTAAAATCTAGTTGCTGCAGATAGGTCCTAATACGTAGCTCCAAGTATAATTTTATTGCCTGAATTCCATTGAGTCCTCTCCCATTGTTAAGTTTCATAGGAGAACATTGGCATTGAACACTGTGGAGTAACAACTCTGCAGTCGCTAAAAAATAGTTCTTAATTCTCAGAGTGAGGATCAAAAGTTGTGGAAGGAGATATGCAAGGATGTTTCAATAATTATAGATTTCTCTAAATGTTAATTTCATTGTATAAACCCTATTATTCAATTGATGGATTTTTTGCCTAGATCAGGGGTCGGCAACCTTTCAGAAGTGGTGTGCCGAGTCTTCATTTATTCACTCTAATTTAAGGTTTCGCGTGCCAGTCATACATTTTAACATTTTTAGATGGTCTCTTTCTATAAGTCTATAATATATAACTAAACTATTGTTGTATGTAAAGTAAATAAGGTTTTTAAAATGTTTAAGAAGCTTCATTTAAAATTAAATTAAAATGCAGAGTACCCGGACTGGTGGCCAGGACCCAGGCAGTGTGAGTGCCACTGAAAATCAGCCTGCGTGCTGCCTTCGGCACACGTGCCGTAGGTTGCCTACCCCGGCCTAGATTAACAGTACTTTACTACTACATTCAGACTCTCACTATTCAACTAATGCCAAGATTCTGGCTAATAGATTCTTAATACTTAAAGAATTGCAATGCATTTCCCTGTTCCTCTAATAAATGTACAATTTTCTGGTGAATGTGTGTTCAAGTGAGAGGAACCAGATCTATCATTTTAAAAGCTGTGTGTCAAAATAGGGAACAATGAAATAACTATGACCCAAGTCTGGACAAACTTTGTTACCTTAGAGTACAACTCCAGAGATGGCTAGTTGGAGTTGGCTCTCAAGTATTATTGCTGGACAATAGTACACTAGTGAGACATCCTATGCAAACACTAATTCAATGAGATTTTGAACTCTAAAATCAGTGATCAGAAACTTTGACATCTGCCTTTAAAAGTGTCTTATGCTGAGAAATGTGAATTCTACATTACGTACAGGGTCATGATTTCTCATTGACTGAGTGTATAAAATTAATACTACACACAGTCACATAGTACAGTTTTTGCACATATACTTTGTTTGAAATTCATTTAAGGCATTTTTTCCCGATACAACTTTTATAAGGTAGCTGAACATAAAACATCCTTGCTGCTAGTGTCTTGTGGGTCTCTTTCATTTTCAGCTGTTAAATTTGATCAGCGCTTTATGTGCCTTTCCCTATTTCACAAAAAGGTCAGTCTTCTGCAAGCCAACTGAAAAGCCTAAAGAGTAAACAGATTTTTTACATAATTTACTAGGGACTTGTTAATCTGAATGTAGTTAACTACATTCTAAAACAGTGGTTATCAACCAGGGATCCAGGGCCGCATGGGGGGCGCTGGGAGCAGGTTTCAGGGGGTCCACCAAGCAGGGCCAGTATTAAGATTCGCTGGGGCCCAGGGCAGAAAGCTGAAGTCTCACTGCATGGGGCTGAGCCCTTCTACCTGGGACTGAAGGCGAAGCCTGAGCAACTTAGCTTCCTGGGGGCCCCAGGCAATTGCCTTGCTTGCTACCCCATAATGCGGTCCTGGCTTTTATATGCAGAAAACTAGTTGTTGTGGCACAGGTGGGCCATGGAGTTTTTTATAGCATGTTGGGGGAGCCTCAGGAGAAAAAAAAAAAAGTTGAGAACTCCTGTTCTGAAAGTTTACATAAACTTCATTGCCAAGGTTATTCTATTTTATAGACTTGAATACACCTATATTTTGTAGTACACATTTAGCATTATAGCGTGCTTACACCATTTCAGAGCAAGATGCCTGTCTTTTCAAATTTCTACATTAGATTCAAAACCTACATAATGTGGTAGAATGTTGTGTATTCTAAGGGATGTAGAATAAATGGGTGTTTTGTTCAACTTATATTGAATTTATATCTGTTATAGCATTCATATTATATATACTCACTTTATACACACAAACCACACTAGAAATGAGTTTGTATCACTGGAAGTTAGATTCCCAGTAGATGTCACAGCTCTTGCTTCTAACCTGAAATTTAACCGGTACGTGTGTTCATTTTTGGCTTTATTGTGTCTCTCTCTGTCCTGTACAGGCAGTATAGTGATCCATTTAATGCTTCCAGAGACACGAGAGATTTATGAGTTGGAAAAGTTATGGACTCTCCGTTCTTATGATGACCAGTTAGCACAGATGGTTCCAGAGTCATTACCAGAAGACTTCATATTTGGACTCACTCACCAGCAGCAATGATCAAAATCTTTCCTTCATGAAAGGAATACATACAAAAAATGCAGTTAGAGCACTCACCACTTCAGGATTAAAAGAATGAAACAAGCAATTTCTTTGCTGTGTCCCCTCTCCCCAGAAGTAACCAAAGAACCACTGTGCTTGAATGCCCCTCCATTGTTGTGCAGTTAGTGAGGGGCTAGGCTTACAGCAATACAGCTGTAGGACACAAAGTACCTAATTGAATCTGTCTAGAATTGTGGGTATTATGATTTAAGCCCCCTTATTCTTCCAGAAGTGCAGGGGGACCTTGTGACTGAAGTAGTCAGCATCTCAGTTGAAGTTGTAGCTGAAAGTATACTGAGGCAGAAGGAAGAGTAGCAGCTATTTGAATAGTAGAGACAGTCAACATGAAACTCAGTTTAAAAGGAACTTCAGGTACTATATCTGCCCCTGAATCTTCCTACCAGTGTTTGGTTTTAATACCGAAAGTATCTCCCTCTGCTGTTGCTGTATGTGAAAGTGAAACCCCCTCTTTACTCCAATAATCAAGGTCTTATGTAAATTACATTGGTTTGAAGGTTAATTTTACTATGTCCCTTTAACACCATTTACTGGCACAGATCCATAGTGAGCAGAGCCCAAACCTTGTTTAATTTGAGGTTAAAGTACAAGTAGGGGAAGCAAAGTAGTATTGAGAAGGGCTCCTTTATACTGATAGTTAGCATAGGGCAAGCTAAGGTGAAAATCTACAGCACTATACTAACATGCCATGCACTAAGAGTTCCAAGGTGCATGCTGATGTACTGCTGTTTGAAATGGTTTTTGTGGGTGGCAGACTAGAATGCTGTAGATTTATAGCCTGGCTTGTTGTGCATTAACTGATCGTGTAGATGAGCCTTAAAGAGGATTTTGTGATAAAGTAAGGAGATGTTGTACCTAAAAAACCAAACAGCTGTAGCAACTTTGTCCATCAAACAGCTCCTGTGCAATTTAGCCTAATGTTTTCTCAAATGCTTGAACCTGAAAAGAAAACTCTACACATTCAGCAGAAGGAAGAAACTTGGAAAGGAATGCTTAAAACCACTCTGGCTAATGTTGAGCTTTGCCTAGCAGATATGTCCAAATTCATTCCAAAGGGGTACCTTGAAGTCATTAAGGTAGGTAAAGGCCACTAATTTAAGAAAGGAGTGGGAGAGGAGTAAAGAGGAGATGGGCCAGTGCTATTAAACAGCGCTAAAGAGGGCAAGTCAAGGCAGAAAAAATGATTTAGGGAAAAGCAACATCATAAATAACTTGATGCTTTTTAAACAGAAGCACTGTGCTCTTGAAGATCGAGACATTCCACTTATGGTATAGTCTGCTATTCTGTAACAATTAGCTGAGGCTCACTTGTGCTCAGAATTGATGACATGTTCTACAGTACTGTGATACTATGCTTTCTGGATGCCTTCTGGTGTTTTCAAAGCACCCAGTCCAAAGAGAATTTCAGATTACTTATTGTGAGAGTTTCCTTTTCAATATTTTGCCAATAAAATCTGCTCTTATGTGAAACAAATTGAAGTAGAAATTTAATCTCTCCATCAGGCATCCCCAGCTTTAGTCAAAACACACAAAAGGGTGAGCCAAGAGTCCTCTGACAGGTATCATACAAAACTACATTGAAATCTTGAGTACTGGTGCAAAGACAACTACAGCTAGCTCTGAGCCCCAAACAGTACCACAAAGCTGCTATTGCAGGCATATAAGTAGAAATTACACAAGGTCTAGTTGCATTCAAAAGTTATGCAACTGTTGGGCTACACTTTAGCTATAAAGCCAATGCAATTTTGGAATGTATCCAGGTGCTCGTCACCTACCTTGGAGGTGATCATGTAGCATTAGCACTGTGTCCTTGTCCTATGAATGGCAGAGTTCTAACACCAACATAGCAGACAACTCAGACAAAACTAATTATTGATCAAAACAAAAATCAGCCCTAAAAGCCATGAATGCAGGAGCTAATGATTAATGAACGCTAGGCACAACAAGAAGTTTAACGTGAGAGACTATCACAATAACTGTTCATAGAAATGCTAATAAAGATGTCTTTGGCAGGATTTTCTGTAACATGATGAAAAGTCTGCACAGTTCTCTAATAAGCCACTGAGGCAAGAAATATTCCAATTGATGACAAGACCAGTACACAAATTAAGCAGATGTTACAATGAAATATGTTAGTAGCCAAATGTATTGCAGATTGCTTTTTTTGCATGCCTCAAATTACAAGGTATCAGCCTGTCCTGATCTACATTATATTTGTCTTTATGGCTACTTTAACCCTGTTAGGCTTAGAACCCTTCCAAGATTCACACATGAAATCTTACACTTGTAGCACTAGATTAGTAGTAAGGAGTGGAAGTGACTAAGTATTTATTAGCCCACTGAATATGTATTAAAAAAACTCTTGAAGGACACTTGTTTTCATTGTCTTCTGTCCATTGTAAATTGTTTGAAAAGCAGTAGCTTGTTAAATAGAAAAACCTTCCCTAAAGATACATCAAATCATGTCCTGGCATCTTTGGCAGTTACATATACAGAAATACTAGCGTAACACTGCCTCTGAGACCAAAGACACAAAATTCCATAACTCAAATGAGGAAGGCTTTACTTTGTCATGGGGCTTTGCACAGGAATTCCAAGGAGGTTAGAAGAGTACAGACTTAAAAATTACCAGTAATAAAAACCATGGCAATGTGAAATATATCAGGAATTAACCATTTTCTGGGTATTCCAATTAGTGGTGGGTGCTATTATACAAGGGGGAAAGTTTGGGAATCTTTCCTCTGACTAGTAAGATGTTTGAGGAAAATAAATCTTGCTAAGCAGTTCTAGATTTTGCTTTGCAATTCATTTTTAAAGATACAGAATATAAAACCGCTTTATTCTCGCGCTCTCACTCACACATACACAAATCACTTCACTTTTCAAATCTCCATTAACGTTACGCTCAGTGGTTTGAGCATTGGCCTGCTAAACCCAGGGTTGTGAGTTTAATCCTTGAGGGGACCATTTAGGGATCTGGGGCAAAAATCTGTCTGGGGATTGGTCCTGCTTTGAGCAGGGGGTTGGATTAGATGACCTCCTGAGGTCCCTTCCAACCCGGATATTCTATGATTCTATTACCAGCACTTAAGCATAATTATCAAGAGTAGATGCCACCTCACAGAAGTTGGTGGGAAGGAATGAGATACAGATTGCCACTTTTTGCACACTACCATCACAGATTCCATCTGCCCTCCAAATTTCAGGGAAGTGCTATTTGTGTGTCTTGTCCATAATAAGAGGGTCAAAGCAGAAGACCAGAACAAATGGCAGCCAAAAATAAAACGTCTATAACTCCAAGTGGACAATCTAGATCGCTTTCCTAAGGGCTGTTATATATTCCTTGGCATTCATATGCTTGGATGTGACGGGCAGGCACAGAGCCTTTCCAAAAAGATCAAGGCAACCTAGAACAAAATCCCTCACAATAAAAATGAAGCCATTAATTGCAAAGTGTACTGTGGGCAGCATAATATTGATATAGGGGAGGAGAGAAGAAAAAGTTATAAACCACAGAGATGAATGCTGGTGTTGGGCCAGGTGAAAATTCTGACTGCATCAGACTGTTGTTGGCTACCCTAAAGATTGTGGAATACCTGTGGATTGCTGCAGAGTTCCTTATATAAATATTAATAAAAACAAATTAAAAGAAAGCCATAAAAAAAACTGATCATTAGAGCAAACAAATGCCTGCACTATTCATATCACATCTTTAGTTTAAAAACAAATACACACAACTATATCTGATGATAGGAGTTAAACTCTTTATTCCATTCAGAGGCATCTGGCAAGTGGAGCTGCGTTGGGGGGCACATTACAGATGAAAAAATGATCCATACTTTGCGGATATTGAAATAATTTACAGTATTTACTTTCTAGCTATTCCCAAATACTCCAAATTACCAAGTCTCAATTGAAAATAAGAACATGATTTACCACACTAAGTATAGAAATTTAAGAGAGATGACAGTATTTAAATCAGCAAATGTAAATGCATTGCCTATTTGTAAAATAACTTTTATGGAAAATAATAAAGTCAAATCCTTCTCAAATGTTAAGAAAGGAAAATTGGACTTAGACTTAAGCCTCAACAAAAATTAAAATGCTATGACTTTTTATAACTTCAGTAATTTTAAATTCATTGCAAGAAAAAATTCTCCTAAAGGCTAGATGGTCACTGTCAAAAAAGGAAAAAAAAAACCCTCATTTTTCTCTGCTAAAACTACAACATAAGTTTATGGTTTTTAAACCAATTAGTAAAGAAGAGATGCAGGAAAAACACTTCAGACCATTTTCAAAATTATCTAATCTGTACAACAATGATCTTTGGGAAAATTATCTATTCTATGTGAAATGCCTCTATTTCAATATGAATCTAAGAGGTAGATCAACAAAATGATGAAACGTTTTTGCTAGTTGTGCCCCTCAAATCAGTGCAGCATGGTGATTCTGATCATCTCATGCACAAAAACATCACACAAAAAAAGGTTCAGAGGTAATAGCATGGCTCTGTAGACCACACACATACAGGCGCACACGCGCACACACACAGCAGTCTTTATGCACCATGTGTTGCCACATCTTTAAAACTGAGGTAGACTGAAGTTTATTGTAGAAACTTGAATGTGTTATATTACCACAATCATTATTCAAATTACATTCTGAAATTAATAAATTTGGTAGCTTTCCTGTTATCCCTGCCTTTTGACAATTTGTCTCTTCCTTTAATGGTTGGTTGCAGAATGTGCATAAATCCTGCTGCATCTATATAAGCCAGACTAGAGGTTGTGTTATATAGTTTAAAACCTTCCAAAGTGGCTTAGTGTGGCCCATAACAGCGGCTGGATATGTAAACTTAGCCTTTCCTTATCTTTAAACACGATCAAACAGTGTTTGACCTTCCCCCATCGTGGTAACTGAAAGCAGGATGATGCGACCTGCAGGAAGCAGAGACCATACAGCCTCGAAACTACTCCAGCAGATCAAGTGTTCTATCAAACTGAAGATGAAGCTTGCTCTTTGAACAGAATGGCAAAGTCCAAATGGGCTGCAAATGTTTACATGTAGCATTATTAGGTAGTGATGGTCAAAGGCACAAAGGGTTCATGCATTCAATCAAAGTAGCACAAAAATAATAAAAAAATTCAGTCTCCTAATTTTTCCCTCAACCCCAGCCTCTTGCCATCACTTCCTTGTTCTGTTCCCAAAAAAGTACCGTCAAACTTTTTCATCCCATCTTAAAAGAAAAATAAACGGCATTGCTGCTATCAGAATGTTGGCATCATTCGCTATCTTTTGAACATTCACTGAATTTTTTTTTTTTTTTAAACAAATGGTGGTGTTGAAACGCTCAGAAAATCTGAGGTTATACTTTTTTTTTTTCCATCTTACTCCCATCAGCCAGCAGCTAGAA